CCCCCCCCAAAAAAAAAAAAAAACTCACAAAAGAAGGAATTATGCTTCTTTTGTTGCCTGCATCAACATGCTTAGTAATTGATGTGGCATCTTTTTGAATCAAAGTGAAGCCTCTTAGCATATTTAATCAGAAAATTGCCAGTATTGAATCAAGTATATAGAACCTGTTCACTTAAGAACATAATTTTTTTTATATATCTTGATATTTGACTAGACCAGAAGATAAAAAAATAACTACCATACAAACAAAGCTTACTTTCTAGCTGAAAATTGTTATTTTTCTTTTAAATGAGCAACTCTATTATATAGCAAAGCCTTGTCAATATCATACTAGTCACATAAAAGAGATGTGTCCTAAGTTTTCTTGCTGCATCTGATGCAAATCCTGTATTGCGGTCCCATCCCTGCTGTCATTAAACTCAATCCTTCACTCATTCACTAAGATTAAAATTGGAGATGATAGGCATCCAAATATCTGAACTGAACTTCGGTGACTTTTACAAGAAATGTTTGATCTTTAATTATTTTAAATTATTTTAAAATAGGAGTTTCATTTTTTTAAGTTCTATCAATCAAGTGGATTTTTACAACCTGTGTGTTTGATCAACTTTCTGCTCTTTACTCATTCAATTCTACCTGAATTGAAAGGTTGTTGCATTGGGCTATATACTCCTCTACATACATGCATCTTTACTGTAACAAATGGAACTTCTCATGTAATTCCCTTGTATAATCAGCTGGCAAAAAATTACTTGGTTAATTTTGCTTTCATATGTTCCCTGGAACATATTTTATGCATAGTTTGTCATGCATGTTGCTATTCAATTCTCTTCCAGTAAGGTGTAGTGCCCTTCAATTTAAGCTTCCCTAACAATACCTTTCTAGCGTTCACATGTTTGCATTCAAAATAAGTCTCCAATCTAGATTTCTCAATCTAAATAATCCTCTACGAGGATCTTTCCAACAAAACAACTATTTTAATTCCTTCTCCATTCAACCCAAGGGCATGGGCTAAACGCCCTTTCAATCCTCCTCTTACTGGATTGTATACGGGTCCAGTATCGTGATAGGGGTTTTCTCCAATCCCATCATCAAGTTTATCCTCAAGACCACCTTCTGGGATTTCCAAGGGGTTGGGGTTGCCTTTTTGGAATCTGCATTTTGTCCCCCACAAATCTTGTCCGTGCAAGGCAAGAACAGCTTTCAACAAGTCTTCATTTACCTCTCTCAATTTTGCCATATCTGCTTGCTGGCCTTGATTTCTTCATCTTCATCCATGACCTCTACCACGGCCAACCATTGTGTAGGATCCAACCCTAACTCAATCCAAAACAGCTAAGAACAATAAATATAATGGCTAAAAGTAGTAGAAAATTGAAGCTCTGAAACTAGAAAAATAGGTTTAGGGTTTGTAGACAACTTCTTTATAACATAAGGATCCTTTAACTGAATAGGTTGCCAAGGAGAATATTAATTCTTCCAAAAGCTCTCACGTCATCATTGTTATTGTGTCCAATTTTTGTTTTCTTGCTGCTTGAAAGAACAAAGGCAAATAACAACTGCTAAATATCTGTGTTGTTTGGGCAGATTTCATATGTCCTAGACACGGAAGATTTCTTTTTTCAAACAAGAAGGAAAAGAAGAAATTCACCTCAAGGAAGATCTTTGTATCATGATAAGGTTCAAGCAAGAGTACAACGCTTCCGGAGATTCTTATCAGCTTAATGAAATAAGCAATACTTTTCATCAGACAAGGTATATACAGAATGTCATTATTGATCCAGGAAATGCATTATAGTTTTTTCCTTGCTTTGCTTTCTGCTACATATTTTAATGAAAGACATGCATTTTTTTTTTTCTGTTTCTATAGGATGCTTTCTATTGGAGTTAGAAGGCCTTCTTCAAGACAACATCTTCATATATTATTTAACATTCACGCCAACTTGTCAAATGGAGACATGAGAAAAGGACCTGCTCGTGGTATCTTGTGAGGGTATATAAACATTATTAGAGCCATTCTTGTACATAAGGTTGAATCATGATTTTGTTGAAATTTTATATAATTTATCGTTATTGTCTTCTTGTACACATTACTTACCTCTGTTTTGTTTTTCCTTTTTCCCTTTGTTCCTGAATTTAGAGTCTGGTGTTTTTTCCTATTTATGGAACAAAATACCACTGTGGAATCTGTAGGTGGGAAGAAAATGATCAAGTAGGGGATAGAGATTTTTATTCAGAGCTTCCTGCATTCTAGGCTTTTTGGTTTGCAGCTGGGCATTGCCAGCGTTTTGTTAAGAGATACAATCTTTTGTACTTGTTTCTAGCGTCAAAAATCTAGATTATCTGTTGTTCGACCTCTTTATTGTTGATACAGTTTAGAAAATCTTTTCCTGAAGTTCAGCGTTCAGAGGATAACTTTCATCAAGACTTGTCATACGGGGAAAACAAAGGCAGATGACAAATCCTCTGGTTTCTCAGTGCACATTATCGGATGTCAGGTATTCCTTGAATATTTTTTGTTCCAGGCATAATAGTGATGGCTGTTAAAGAAACAATTTATCAGTTAGTTCATGTAGTATAACATTAATGGTCAAGTATTAGCTGTGGAAACAATTACTTTCGAAGCGAGAAAGGCTTAGTAATTCTGACTTATGTTTAGGGTTAATAAAATTCTTTTAGGTAAAAGCTGTTGTGAGATTATATTTACCAAGAAATAGAACCTAGAAAACACTGATATCGTATGCCAATGGTTATATAGATATCTAAACTTTCCCTGACATGTATATCTATATAAAGTAGAAATATTTCAATTAAAATCTATTAATCATTCAGTGGCGGCATGCAGATTGATGTTGATTAGGATGGGTTTATTTTGATTATTGTGTTTTAGGCATGATGAGTAAGAGGAAGCTATTGAGTTTTGTAATTCCTGCATAACGAACTCCTAGAATGTTTGTGATTTTTTTGTTATCCAAGAACACACTGAACACACACAAACTAAACAAAAGAAATTAAAATGTGAATTCATATCTATGTTCATCTGTGAGATAATTATGTAAATATCTATTAAGGAAATAATTATTAATAAAGAATTCCCCAACTTGTCTAAAATATATAATTAATAACGAATATATAACAATGAGATCAATATTTCTATCTCATAATTAAAAGAGCAGAAAAGTAGTAAAGAACACCGATTCATAATTAATAATAAATCGTGATATATAGTACTTCTAGTTGAAACTCCCTCATAATAATCAAGTATAAACACAATTAACCCTAATGAAAAATAGATCAAAATAAATTCTAAAAGCATAAATAACTTTTATGATGGGAAAAAACATAATTTAATTCAATATTAAATACAACTTAGTAATTTACTGTCTGAATTCATCCTTCACATGCTTGGGGGTAAGAGATGATTGATTTAGCAACCAAGAAAACTTCACAAGGTACGTTTCACTTCCAGTTAGTTAAACATAGAAATATAATTAACATCTAGCCAGATTTCTGAGAAAGCTAGCTTAAGAAAAATCATAATGACCAAGACATCCAGCTAAACAAAACAAATAAAACTTCATCATGGAATTTCTTAAAATATAATAACACAATAAGAACTAGCCACATTTATGCAAAGTTCAACCTGAAAAACACACATTCATAACCAATAATTTCATTTTTAAGAAGTGAATCTAATATATACTAAATAAAGTATCAGCATAAACTTTTTTTAAATATAAAAATATAATCAGTACCAGCCACAGTTATGGAAAAGTAAACATGAAAAACATATATAAAAAAACAAAATTTAAACTTAACAAAACAGTCAAATAAATTAAATTCTTAAAACATATAAATACAATTATCAAAAAGTAAACTTTACAAAAAGAGATAAAAACGCTCTACTTCTAATTCATAAAACTGCATTGTACTTTGAATACACACTTTTTTAACAAAAAACACATTTACATCAAAAACAAAAAATAAACTCATAGCTATTATCAATCATTCATGAACTGGATCTTAATACCCAAAAGAAACAATATAAGAACAAACACTAAAAATCATTGCAAACAAAACAAATATTTCAAGACTTTTCAACAAAACACAGTTAGACACCCAAAAATATAAAGACCTTGAACCGTGCCAAATGAAGGAGGCTGCCATGATGGGGACCCAGATTCATGGTAAGGAATGTAGCTGCCATGCCTTGTTGTAGTTCTTTTGGCCTTTCTAGTTGATAATCAATGGAGCGTTTCCATAACATTGTAAATATGCTCACAATTTCTTAATCAATATTTTTTTTTTAATTTGTGCTTCTATGCATTCTATGTGCTGCCCAATTCTGATATTAATCTGTAGACGACATGGCAAACAAAACTAGGAATGCTAAAAGTTGGGTTGCCAGCACTCCCGTAGGTTTTTGGCTAGTTATTGCTGGTTCAATTACATTAGAAGTTTTTGGAGAATATATTTTTTATTTTTTTTCAAAAAACAAACCTTGTAGCTCCAAGATGAATAATTAGATCCTAGACATTTTGTTAACATTCTCTATTTGTCCTTGCTTTGACTTTCCTTTTATAGTGCCATTAGTCTCTAAATTGAAGGGCTGGAGTGGAACACGTTGCGGATGCTCATTCATTCGAAATTATCACCGGTTTCATTATCCCATTGGGTGCGTGCTCACATGGTCCATGTGCCAGGCACACCGGAGTCATCAATTTTTTCCGTTACTTCTTTAATTTTATAAATTATTAAGGGAAAAGAAAATCTTTAAAATTGTTAATCAAAGAAAAAACTAAGTATAAAGACAAAGCTAGGTAGGAGGAACAAAATTCATGGAAGATTTAAGAGAATCCTGTTGTAAATTTATTTAATTATGTAATTTAAATAAATTATAAGTGAATGAGAAATTAATGTAAAAGAATCCTTATTTTTCTCAAAGAACTCTTGGTCCCTCTAGAATTAATTTTTAATTTGATTTATAATGGTAATCAGAGGTAGACAATTAAGGAAATTAATTCTTCAATATTTTAACTTTTAAAATTCACTATAAAAGATGAGGGAAATTAATTTAAAAGAACTCTTGATATTTCTATTTCAAAGAGCCCTTGTTTTTTCTAGATTTTATTCTTGATTTGAGGTGGCTAATTAAAGATAGATAATGGTAGCAAAATCTGTCCATGGAGATAAAGAGGACCATGAATTTAAAGAAGTTCTTCCACCAAAAATATCATTGCATGCTATCATGAGAGAGAATTCTGGAGGAAATCATTGGGCAACATCACTTACTGATTTTAAATGATTCGGGAAGCACTCATAACTTCCTGGGATCTCGGTGGGTGACCAAACTAGGACTTACGTGTGGTAGGGGTCGCCAATGGTAGCAAAATCAAAAGTCTAGGTCAGTGCCAAAATGTTCCTATTACGATGGGAAATCAATTAATTCATATTGATTTCTACATTTTAAAGTTAAATGGGGTTGATGCTGTTTTGGGAGTGAATTGGCTATATAGATATTGGGTCCCATATATGGGATTTCAAAGCCAAATCCATGGTTTTTAAATAGAATGGCAGAGTTATGGAAGCATAGGGCACTGATAGCCCACATTCTACTCCAATTGTACAACTTCATGCTACAGAAATGGAGTCACCTTTCGATACGGATCTTGACAATCTTTTGACTAATTTGATGCTATATTTCAAGAACCACAAGGCCTTCCACCTGCAAGATCCTATGATCATCACATCAATTTGAAGCTAGGAACACATCCTGTCATGGTACGTCTATACAGATATCCTCATACATAGAAAGATGAAATTGAAAGGCAGTGCAAAGATATGTTAGAGCAGGGTATCATCAGGCCTAGTTAATCTCCTTATTTCTTACTAGTTCTTCTGGTCACTAAAATAGATAATACATGGTGATTTTGCGTAGATTACATAACCCTGAATTCAAAGACCATTAAAGATAAATTTTCTATTCCAAGTTATTGATAAGCTACTGGAGGAATTACACGGTGCAAAATATTTTACAAAACTAGATTTACACTTCAGTTATCATTAAATTAGAATGTTTCTAATAAATATAAAAAAGACAACATTTCACACTCATCACGGTCACTTTGAATTCTTGGTAATGCCTTTTGGCCTTACTATTGCACCTAGCACATTCCAAGCTTTGATGAATGAGGTATTCCAGCTATACCTATATAAGTTCATTTTTGTGTTTTTTGATGATATTCTTGTCTATAGTCACTCCTGGACAGATCATTTAGCACACTTACAGCTTGTCTTTGATATCCTTGCTACTCACCAATTATTTCTCAAGCGATCCAAGTGTTGTATTGCTCAACACCAAGTTTTTTATCTTGGCCATATTATCTCAGGAGAAAGGGTTGTTGTAGACAAAAGCAAAATTACAGCAATGATTGATTGGCCAAAGCCGACCACTGTGAAAGGCTTAAGAGGTTTCTTGGGCCTCACAAGCTATTACCTGAAATTTGTTCAGAATTATGGCACAATTTTCGGTCCTTTTACAACCATATTACACCAAGATTCATTCAACTGGATAAAGGATGCAACTCAAGCATTTGAGCGTTTGAAAATTACTATGATCTGCACTCTTGTATTGGCACTACCCAACTTCACTACCCTGTTCATTTTAGAATGTGATGCATCCGATACAGGAATGAGAGTTATGTTACACCAAAATAGGCAGCCAATTGCATACTTTAACAGACCTTTGGCGATTCATTATAAAAGTCTTCCTGCTTATGAGAAAGAGCACATTAGTTTAGCTAAAGTCATTCGACATTAAAGAGCTTATTTGTGGGGACGTCACTTTCTCATTTGGACAGATCATTACAGTCTCAAATTCTTACTAAACCAACAGGACAGATCATTACAGTCTCAAATTCTTACCGAACCAACGCATCATCACTTCACCCCAGCAACATTGGTTAAGTAAACTCATGGGTTTTGATTTTATCGTAGAATATCATGAAGGTAAACATAATACAGTGGCTGATGCTTTATCTCGATGCTTGGAGGACCAACCAAGTCTTACTTCCATTTCCATATCGTTCTTACCTCTTTTCAATTTGATTAATATGGAGATTCAGAATTCAAAATAGTTGCAGTTGTTGCTGCGTAATATCCAACAAGGCGAAACTATGAGACAATGGGAATACAAGGATGGTTTGATTTTCTTTAAACGACTAGTTTATTTGTTGAACACTTCTCATGTGGTTCCATCCATTATTTCAGCTCTCCATGATAGTGGTCATGTGGGCTATCAGAAGACACTCCGTCGTGTTGCACATGATTTCTATTGGCAAGGGATGAAGACTTCCATTCAGACTTTTATGCGTCAATGTCTTATCTGCTAAAAACACAAAACTGAACATTTGCATCTTGCAGGACTTCTCCAGCCTTTACCTGTTCCACTTTAAATCTGGTCAGACATCTCTATGGATTTCATTAAAGGCCTACCTCCCTCCCAAGGAAAGTCGATTTTATTGGTTGTGGTAGACCATTTTTCAAAATATGCACATCTCCTTCCCCTTGCTCATCCATATACTGCAATGAGTGTTACTCGTTTGTTCTTTGACAATATTTTCAAACTTCATGGTTTTCCAGAGACTATTATGACCAATCGTGACATCATATTCACCAATTTATTTTGGATTGAATTGTTTCGCTTGAGTGGAACCAAATTGGCTTTTAGTTTGACTTATCATCCCCAAAGTGATGGTCAGACCGAGGTTGTTAATCGCATTATCAAGATGTATCCGCGTTGCTTTACAAGTGACCGTCCTCGTCATTTATTTCAATGGCTGCCTTAGGTAGAGTACTGTTACAACACTAGCTACTGGTCTTCTCTTAAAGCCACTCCTTTTGAGGTGGTTTATGGTCAATCTCCACCAACTATGTTGTCTTATTGTCCTGGCTTAGCTAAACTGGAAGTAGTGGATCAAGAATTATTCAATTGCGACTTGGTTCTTCAAGACCTTTGCAACCGTTTACCTGAAGCTCAAAATTCTATGAAGGCTCGGTATGATGCTAAACATCATCCTGTTTACTACTAAATATGTGATCAAGTTTTACTTAAACTGCAACCTCACTGCCAACTTAGCCTTTCTTCCTCTGAACACATTAAACTCTCCCCCTTATTTCTATAGCCCTTTTCCTATTATAACCAAAATAGGCACTATGGCCTACAAATTAGAACTCCCTTCTTCTACCAAACTGCATCCTGTTTTTTATATTTCCTGTGTTAAACCTTTCCATGGCACATCCGTTTCCATTGAACCTTCTTTCCTTGTTCTCATACAAAGGGAACTTCAACCTCTACCAAAAGCTATTCTGGATTCTTATTTTATTCACAATCAACACCAAGTTTTAGTCCATTGGGATGGTTTGTCACCTGTAGATTCTTTTTAGGAGGATGTGTCCTTTTTTTATAGTCGTTTTCCTTCTTTTGCACTTGCGAACACGTGCCATTTAATGAAGTCGATAATGTTATGAACAACATCCACATGGATAAGAAGTTGGATAACATGGATAAGAAGTTGGCTAAAGGAAAATATATCAGATGCAAGAAGTTGGCTAAAGGAAAATATATCAGAGGCGTGGCTGATGTGGCTGCTAAAGATTAGGAATTGTGGTTGTTAAAAACACTGGAAGTTGAAGCTAGGATAGCCAGTATTGCATTATGCTCCAACTGGCAGATTTCATATAGATTTCATTTTATTTAATTGTTATTTTCTATTCTATGTTAATGGTTTAGATAATGTAGTAGTGGTGCCAACTTTTTAGGAGTTGGTTATTAAACAAATTGTTTAAATTGTAAGCAAAGACATAGAGTAATATAGAGAAGAAAATTAAATTTTATTTACATAAAGATTGTTAGGTTCTCTTTTAAATGAGCCCTTCATATATTTCAAAATAGGTCATAAGAGAAGAAGGTCGGGTAAACACCATTCTTTACAGGTGGATTTCATAGTCAATTTCCTTGTAACTTGATCACAATCTTGAGACCATAATAGAAGTGAAGAAAGAGTTTCTAACTTAATGTTTTTTTCTTTTCATATTTTTACATATTCTTACTCATCTTATTTTTAATGTTTTTTCTTCTTTTTATGCTTTGATTTTTCTTTAAAAAATCTAGAGTTTATGTTCACTTTATTGAGAGATAATTAAAGCCCTTTTACTTTGGTTCAAAGAACTTAGTTTGAAAGTGCATCTAAATAAAGGTTGTATTATTAGGATTTTAAAAGGCATACTGCAAACATCTTTTTTTTTATTATTATTATTAATATGGGTGTTCAAGATAATTTGCACGCATCTCGACTAATCCCACAAGTTTTGAAGTTAATGATCATGTAAGCCTTCAGTTGTCTTGAAGTTTGTGAGACATAAACTAGTGACTTTTAAGGAGCAAATCTAGGACCTGACCAGTTAAGTTACACCTTTTAATTGCACAAATGAGGAGCAATAAAGTCTCAAGAATTCATCATTGACAACAACAAAAGATTCATTATTTTAAAGTGCTTCAACAAGTAAGTACCTTTTTTATTTTAATTTAAACATAATTAATTTTATTATTAGTATGCAAGCTAAAATTTTGACTTTATATCAATTTCAAGTTTGAATATATACTTAGCACACATATTAGTATCCTTTAAGTATATTTGTGTTGAAACCATGTTTGTTTTGAGTCTTATTTTTAGATGTTCATAAATCTAAAATTATATGCAATATAAACTTACATTCAAACAATTTTATTTATGGTTTTGAAGATTTGAGTTTCCACTTCTTAACAATTCATGAATGCATCTTGTATCTACAATCTATTATTTATTACTAAAACCTTAAAAAAAACTAGATTGCAAATTAATGGTCTATAAAATAAATTTTAGATTTCAAAAGATTATGCTATTATTGGATCAAAACATCATATAAATGGTTTAAAGTTCAAGAATTAAGGCCAAATAGTTTGTTTTCTTCTTCTTTTTTCCTTCATATATTCTATAAACATTCGTGAAAATTTGGAAAGAAAACCTAACTTAATGGACATGATTGTTATTATAATTTTTGTTTTTCAAGTAACACTAGACTGCAGGTTTATAGCTTAAAAAAAAGATAGGAAAAGATTTTGCATGGTAATAACAAAATACTCTTAGTGTAAACCTTTTATGTTCTTATGTCCCTTTTATTATTATATATATTCCCATTCAGCAGATTTAACAAAGATAGAAATAAAGACTTAAAGATGGATTAATTATAAGAAAAATCCAACTAGCTTCTAGACATACCTTCTTTTCTACTTTCATGGATTAGGAACAAAGTGAGTTATCATGAGACTTATCTTTTTATTCCTATTTTTATCTTCTTCTTTCTTTTTGAAGCTGTATGTTCTTTACTTTTGATTTCCTTTCTTAAAATGCAGAAACTGCCCGTTTAAAGGGTTAGGATGAATATTGCCATTATGTAAAGATACTACACTTCCATGATTCATGACTCGTGTATACTTATATTTTTGCAGACTTGGGATAGCTAATGAAATGATCTATTTTTTCTAAATTTATGCATTTCATAAAAGAAAAGTTTTTACGAGAAGAAATAAAGACAGGAAGAAGAGAAGAGACAACAAAGATTAAATTTGAATTTATTTCAGATTGAATGAATAAACTGATTGCATGCATTCATTACAATCGTTACACATATATATTCAAAACTAACAAAAAAATTGCAAACTTCTAGCATGAAATCATGCTATGATCTGTTAACATGATAACATATTAACTAACTCCTAGATACTAGGACAATAACTCATTATTTGCATGAGAATTAGAAATAACAGAAACAGAAAAGATTTTTGACAATCCATGAAGCAATCTTCAACACTCCTCCTTGCTTGAGGAGCTGCAAACTCCAATCTTTTGTCTTAAAAACTCAAACCTGTTTACTGGCATTGGTTTAGTAAACAGATCAGCCAATTGATTTTCAGACTTGTAATAAATCAATTTAACTTCACCATTTTTTTGCATCTCTTGTAAAAAATAAAGCTTGATGTTAAAGTGTTTTGTTTTTCCATGAAACACTGGATTATGAGAGATTGTTATAACTGCTTGATTGTCAACTAAGATTTCAATTGCTTCTTCTTCTTTTTCTTCTTCTTCTTCTTCCATGTGTAAATCTCATAATAACTTCTGTAACCATAATGCTTGATTTACTGCAGATGTGACTACAATGAACTTTGCCTCTATAGTAGATTGAGCAATGCTATCTTACTTCTTGGATGACCATAAAAATATTATAGATCCTAGATTAAAATAGAATCCAGAGGTGTTTCTCATGTCATCAATGGTTCCACCCCAATCACTATCAGAAAAACCATGTAGTTTTAACTTTTGACACTTCAAAAATTTAACACCAAAGATGTATGTCCCTTTGATGTACCTTAGAATTCTTTTGGCTACTCTTATATGAATTTTGCTTGAACAATGAATAAACCAAGATAGAAGACTTGTTGCATAAAGTATGTCAGGTCAGGTTGTTGTTAAATATAGCAAACATCCAATCAAGCTTCTGAATTTTTCTTCATCTACTCTATCGGCTTACAATTCTCCATATCGAATTTCTTTATGATTTCCTTTGAATACGTCTTTTGGCAAATGAATATTTCATTTTTGCTTTACATGATTTCCATTCCTAAAAAGAAACTCATGAGACTAAGGCCAATCATTTCAAAAACTTGTATCATATTCTGCTTGAATTCTGCAACCTGCACTGAATTGCTTCCTGTCACTAAAAGATCATTAACATAGAGTGATATTATAAGCACATCATCATTGATTCTCTTCACATAAAGTGTTGCTTCAGATAAACTTTTCTGAAATCCAAATGCTATCAAATAGTCATCAATTCTACCTATCAACCTCCATGTGCTTGTTTCAATCCATAAAGAGCCTTCTTTAGTAGATAAACTTTGTCTTCTTTTCCTTGAATCACAAAACCAGCTGGCTGCTCAACATAAATTTCTTCTTATAGAATGCCATTTAGGAAGGCTGCTTTAACATCTACCTGGAAAACTTTCTAGTTTTTATGTACAGCAACAACAAACAAGAATCGAATGGTGTCCATCCTTGTTATAGGTGAAAATGTATCTGAATAATCAACACCATAAATTTGAGCATACCCCTTAACAACCAGCCTAACTTTATACTTATTGATGGTGCTGTCTGCATTCAGTTTAGTCCTAAATATCCACTTCACTCTAATAATGTTTTTTTCTAGTGGTTTGTCAACTAGTTCCCATGCGCAGTTCTTCTCAATCAGGGATATCTCCTCCTGTATTGCTTTCTACCATTCTCAATTTTGTTTTTCTTATTCATAGCTTCCTAGTTCGCAGATAGCTACATTGCTCCTTTAATAAATATCATCAAGGGATCAAGTGCCTCTAATTAGTGAATCATTAAATGATTCATCCTGCAATGAATCTGCTAACTGCACATTTCTTTGTGAGTCTCCCCACTCTCATCGTTCTTCTTCATGGAAATGGACATCTCTTGTAATAACCATCTTCTGAGTTTGAGGATGATAAACTTTGTAGGCTTTAGAAACATCACTATAGCCAACAAAGATTCCTGACATTGCTTTCTTATCAAGCTTGTCCCTTTTTATCTGTGGAACATGAACAAAACAAATATTGCCAAAGATCTTAAGAAACTTAATGAAGGTTTGTAGTTATACCAAACTTCAAAAGGTGTCTTTTCTTTCAACAATTTTGTTGGAAGTTGGTTTTGAAGAAAGACAGTTGTGTTAGCTGCTTCTGCCTAAAACATCTTTGGCAAATTCTTTTCATGTAGCATGCATCTCACCATTTTTATAATGTATCGATTTCTCCTCTCACTGACTCCATTATATTCAGGAGTGTAAGGGGCAGTGAATTGATGTTCTATACCAGCTTCTTCATAGTAGAGATTGAATTCTAATAAAGTGTATTCTTTGTCATTGTCTGACTGAGTGGATTGAATTCTGTAGCTGCTCTTATTCTCCACATTCTTTTTGAATCGCTAAAAAATCCCAGCTACTTCTTACTTATATTTCATGAAGAAAATCCAGCACATTCTAGTAAAGTCATCAATACAGAGTATGTAATATCGACTACCTTTTATTGAAGGTATGCTACGTGGACCAACAACATCTGTATGAATCAATTAAAGTTTCTTTGTAGACCTCCATGTTGATTTTGGAAACGGTTTCTTGTTTTGCTTACCAAATTGACAAGCATTACAATTTGGCAACAGATCGGTGAATGAAGGCACTTCTTTTACAGCTTCATGCTTCTTCATGCTGATCATTCATTGTCGATGATAGTGACCTAATCTCTTATGCCACACTTCCATGTCATTTAGTTTTGTTGGAAAGGTTGTGTGCTCCTTCTCTAATGGTAAAAATGAAAAGCTTTTGCCTCTTATTTTGGCTTGTAATGTTTTATATCCATCAGTATAAAAAATATAGCAAGATTGATTTTTGAAAACCATTTGCATGTCTTTCTTTATTAATAGCCCAACACTCAATAAATTCTGATCTATATCAGGTACATAAATAACATTAGAAATAGTTTTTGTACCTGAGTTGGTAGTGATGGTAGTCATTCCTTTTCCCTTTGCTGCTATACAATCACCATTTCCAATTTTGACCTTGGAAACTTCAGTAGTTTGCAAAGTTCTGAAGAGATTCTTATCAGAAGTCATGTGATTTGTGCATTCACTATCGATTAGCCAGTGATCTGAGGATGTTTGGATTGAAAAACATGTATCTACAAACATTTGATCTTCATCATCTGAATTGGCAACTTGAGCATCTTTATCCTGTTTCTAAAATTTTATTTTGCAGATGATTGCTTTATGTCCCATTTGATTACATTTATTGCACTTTGCATCAGATCTCTTCCAACATTTGAATGGTGAATAACCTAACTTGTTGCAGTGTTGACATGATGGAAAGTTTCTCTTAAAATTTTAATTCTTTGTTCTGGAATTGACTGACAGTAGTCTTACTACTGCTTGAAGTCTGATTTTTTCTGAAGAATTTCTTCTTATCAGAATCGAGATACTTTGGTTATAAAGCTCCTTTAGTAATATGATCTTGCCCCATAAGTCTCCATTGCTCTTGAGCCTACAAGGCATTTATCAATTCTACTAAGGTGATTTTGGATAGATCCTTTGTATTCTCCAAAGTGGTTAAAGATGCTTTATATCTTTCAGGCATAGTTACTAGAATTTTCTCTATAATTTTACAATTAAAGAAATTTATGCCAAGTAACCTTACCTTGTTGACAATTCCAAGTAATTTTTCTGAATGCTCTTTGATGGTTTCAGAATCTTTCATTCTCTGTAATTTAAATTCTCTTATCAGATTAAGACTTTGCATGCCACGAATTCTTCCATCTCCTATATACTCCTGTCATGGGGTAATTTTTCGCTCTATGAATAAACCCGTGCGGCAACCTAGTGTCTTACTAGACTCAACCTTCCCTCGTCAATCCCACTCGTGTTTTCCTAGTAACTAATCAAGCAAAATACACAAGTAGAATAAGATAATCAAAGTACACAGCAAGCTTTACAAGAACTTTTTCCCAACCTTTATTGATCTCATAAACAAAGATAATTATACACAAATTCGTATATGTGTTATGCACAAAGCTTGCATGCTACACCAAGCTATCTCTAACTCGTACTCTACATATTCTTACATGCCCTTACATGTTGAACATGCCCCATGCATGCTGTTGTATGCCCATACATGTTTCTCTCAACCAAGAGCTGCAACAAGTATTTATAAATACATGCTGAACATGCCCCATGCATGCTGCTGTATGCCCATGCATGTTTCTCTCAACCAAGAGTTGCAACAAGTATTTATAAACAAGAATTTACAAGGCACAACTCTCATTCCTACTTTTAAGCAAATAGTGGGACATTATCTCACCCATGTTCACCCATGAACATAATGGCCCTATTATATACCAAGTAGTAGGTAGTTTTCCCCAATGATCTCCCATGATCTTAGTGGGTTGAGAGCAACCCCTGGTTAGGCCCCATATTTTCAGCCCTCATGATCCTATGATTTTAGATATCCATAACTGCTAACCCACATTCTGCATGCCCATCTAGCAACCCCAACTGTCAGTTCTTGTTGTGTCTGCTACTGATCTATTGCATGCTTTGAACAATCCTTCATCCAAGTTTCAAATTGTGCCAAGTCGAACCACTGACTTGCAGAAGCTGTTGCGTGCTACCGAATTCGTATTCGCGTGCAGGCTGCCAATTCTTGCGCTGCTGAATTCACATTTACATGCAGGTTGCCACTATCTGTGCTATCAAATTCCGCTACAGCCCTAGTTCTCGTTAGCTTATCCCACTAACGAGTTTTCCTGCTTGGCTTGGACAGTCCATCATCTAGCCTATGTTTATCAATAATCTACGCTACAAATTTTCCTTTGACGAACCTACAGCCGCACAAATCTACGCTGCCTTTTTTTTCCACTGTTGGCATAGCTACCACCACACTTA